AATAGAAGTTTAACAACAATCATCTTTTTCATAGGAGCAAAGGTCTCCTCATTACCTATCTCGTACTCCTATTTATAGCCTTGAGCAACAAGTCTAGACTTGTGCCTATCTAGACTCCCATCTGACTTCTTCACTGAGTAAATCCAATGGCTACCAATGAGAGAGGCTTCAGGAGGAGCTTTAACTAGGTCCTAGGTGTCATTCTCAAGAAGGGCTTGGATCTCAGAGTCCATGGCATCTTTCCAATGTGGAATTGCTGCAGCCTGCTGATAAACTTAGGAATATTTGTGGTTGACAAAATAGTAGAAAAAGAGCTATGGTCTAGTGAATAACCAAGCAGTTAGGAGGGCGAGAAATTCTAGAAGAACGACACAAAGTGGGTGCATTGGGGTTAGGTGGAGGATTAGATGCACTTACAGGAATAAATGGAGTGACTGGATCAGCAACTGGTGGTGGAGAAGAAAGGGGCATATGAGCTGATGTAGATCGTTGCTTTCTGATAGACATGGAAAAAAGTTGACCCAACCCGCCAACCCGACCCAACCCAACCCGAAAGAACAGGGTAGGGTCTCATATTTAGCAACCTGAATTTCAAAATGACCTGACCCGAACCAACTCCAAAAAAAAAAAAAAACTAGGTTGGGTTGGGTCATGGGTCAACCCATTGACCCGATTGTCAGGTCTAATTAGAACTATTTATGCATTGTTAGAAGTTTCCACTCTTTAATTTTTACTATTTAGTCTTTACTCTGTATTGTTTACTCCTTGAATTGTTAAATGTTCATTTTTTTATTTTATTTTAGGAATTAGGTTAATTCCTTTAATTTTGGCATTTTTCATGTATTCTCTTTAATTTTTAAAACTTCATTTATTTTTGGGATGACCTGAATTGACCCATGGGTCAATCCTAACCCGAACATTTAGGGTTAGGGTTTAGCATTTGAAAACCCAACTTGAAATTCAACCCGACCCGAAATCAACCCGAAGTGTCTTGACCCAACTCGAACCCGACCCACCCAACCTAATTGCCAGGTCTACTCTCTGAAGTAAGTTTGAAGTTGTTTCAAGGGTGATGTTGATGCACTTGGAGGATTTGTTTGTAGGGTTAAAGTTGTGTAACAAAGAGATGGAGGGAGAAGGAAATTTAACAATATGTTCAAAAAAAGATATATTCTCAAGGAAGATAACATTACGAAAATCCGAATGCGGCGAGCTATGGGATCATAACAAAGAAATCCCTTGTGATCAGGACTCTAGCCCACAAAAGCACACAAAATTGCTTGTGAAGTTAGCTTAGTGCGTTCTTGGGGCGGAAGGTAAACAAAGTAGACACAACTAAATACTATGAGCATTGAGAGGTTTGGAGGTTTGTGAAAAAGTGACTGGAAGGGAAGTATTATTTAAGAAAGATAATGGAAGAAGGTTTATGAGATATAGTAATGCTAGCCGCCTCCACCTAAAACCAAGAGGGTTCTGACTATACTCAAAATATGTCTTTGCTACTCCATTTTGTTGTGCAGTACCAAGACAGGATTTTTAGGGTTGGATGCCTTGTTGTTTCAAGTGGGTTTGAAAATCCCCATTAAAGTACTCTTCCCTTGAATATGACTACAAGACACATATCTAAACTGGGTAGCAATATGAAATAGTTTGAATGTAGAATAAACTTTGGAGTTCTTGTAGAGAAAATAAATCCTAGTAAACCGAGTGCAATCATCAATAAATGTCACAAAATACTTGTATCCCAATCTAGAAGTAACTAGAGACAACCATACATCACTATGTATTAAATAAAAAGGAACTGTTGCATGCTAAGAACGAAAAGGGAAGGTTAAAATATGACTCTTGCACAAACAATAGGTAATGCAGGCTTTATTAACATTCTTAAGAGAAGCAATAGAAGTTGATAAACTACTAGAAGCAAACAAATAATCAAGTTTCTTAGAAAAGGGGTGACTAAGGCGTCTATGCCACAAATGCCAGTCATTATTACAATTAAAAGATTCAAAACTAGAAGTAGTGGAAAATAAACATGAAGTAGAAACAAAATTAGCGTTATTCTCAAACTCCAGGGCAAACAACCAACCCAATCTAAGCCCCTTCCCCTTCACTAGTTTGTTGGTCCTATATCAAACAACCATCAGAGGAAAACAAGATAGTGTTACCATCTTCCATAAGTTGACCAACAGAAATCAAATTAATGGTTAATTTGGGTACAAATAAGGTCTTGGGTAGGTGAATGTCAGAGGACTTAAAAGTAGATAAGTGTAAAGCATCACAACCAAGTATATCTAATTTTTTCACCATTTGTAGTAACAATATGTCTATTAGGGAGATGGGGTTTAGGAGATCGACCAAAGGAGGCCCTTGTCATGTGGTTAGTGGCACCTGAGTCAATGATCCAAAGGTGGTTTGATGAAGGGCAGAGGGTAGGAGATTTACCAGACAGACCAATAGCAGAAAAGGCGGAAGAGATAGCCAAGGACGTGAGGTGCTGAATCCTTACTTCAAACATACAACCGAAAGTATCACTCTGTGAAGCCACTGAGGTAATACAGGATGAGGCATCTGAATTCTCTATGAAAGTCTAATAGACTTTATAGGACCCTTTCTTCTGATTAGACCCACCATCTTTTGGTGGTCGAGTGGGGCATTCTATGACGATATGTTCCTGTTGCTTACAATATGTGCATGCATTCTTCTTCTTGTAGTGTTAGATAACATGTTCAAATTCTTTGCATTCATAGCACTAAATTCGGGAAAATCCTTCTTCCCTTAGGCTTTGTTGCAAGAAAAATAACATCGATGTTAGGATCCATCCTACCATCAGTTGTGGTTTGTGTAACTAGCCTGGTCTATTCTCTCAAAATCTCCCCAAGTATAGTATCAAGATTGGAAGTCTCTTGGGAAGTCTCCTGGGTGAGAATATTACACCCAACAACTTCAAATTCAGGTTTGAGATGCATTAAGATATGCATAATTTTCCTTCTATCAAAATGTGTTTTCATGAACTTCACACAACAATCTGAAGGATTTTCACCCATGTGCACTAGCTTGTGTTCAGTCAAAGGTTAATGAACCCAACATAGTATTCTTGAACTTTCCTCTCCCCTTGATGATAAGAAAATATGTCAACTTCTATATGGTGTTGTCTAGAAAGATTTGATTGTTGATATACCTTCTCAAGGTATTGATACATTTGATAAGTAGTTTGGTACCCTCTCATAGGGACGGGAATTCCAACCTCAACAGATCCAAGGATCCATGATGCAATTTTTGCATTGTCAATCTTCCACTGGTTTAGGGCCTTAATGTTTGAGTCATCATGCTTAGATGTAGTCCCATCTAAATACCCCCAAAGTCCCTTTGTCTCAACATGAAACTGAAAGTTTAATTTCCACAAGGCATAGTTCTATCCATTAAACTTGATAGGAAGGACATCTATTCTTTCCAAAGCCATTAACAGTGAAACAACAGTGCTGATTTTCAAAGAAGATATCAGGTTTCAAATAAGAAAGAAAAGCGAAGTACCTTTCACTCAAGTGTCCAAAAAAGGTAGCTGTAGTAGTAGATCGAACCAAGAGAGGGATCGAAAACCCTTCTTAAACTAATCCAATTCCAACCAAACTGAAAGAGATCACAAGGACTCCTCTGGGCGACACCAGATCTGGAATCTTCAAGTGTAGATCTAAAGAAAAATGTGAAGCTGGTGGCGCAACTCTCCAAGTTCCAGGTCTGTCAAGGGCTGATCAAAACGCCTTGAGAAGGGATATTCAAGGGCATAAAAGAGCTTCCCAAATACTGTTAGGGAGACCCCTAAATGCCAGGAGACTCAAAGAACAAAGGTGTCTTCTCAGCATCTGATCAGATTGTGACATGCTCTGATACCATGTCAGAGTCAGATCTGAAACTGTAGAACAAAGAGAGAGAGAGAGAGAGAGAGAGAGAGAGCAGCAGATTTGTAGGTGTGCCAAAAGTGTCAGTAGACACCCAGGAAAAGATATTTGTATTAAAAGGTAAAAGGACCAATCTGTCCTTAATATACAGATAGTAGTGTACAAAAGAAACTGAAGTACAACAAAGAGTAAAATTACAAAAAATAGCCTTCGGCTAACTCTCTTTATCTCTACAGTTTAACCTTTATAATGGAATCTGGAATTACAACTTTGCACTTGGGTCTATCATGGATTCTAACTTTATTAATATGTTTTTTATTGATTGAAATGGTGGAAAGGTTCTCTTAGTCTCTTTGGTTTTGGAGCATGCTGGTTCAAGTCATTCTGGCCAATATTTTTATGCGTGGTTCAACTTGCAGAGAATCTTGAGCATCCAATCATGGTTGGACCATGCTATCTCCTTTATGTAACTAGAGTCTAGATTGTTGTGCACTCATTTGAGCTACACCAGTGATGATGATTTCATGATGCTTAAAATCCCTTGGATTCCTCTCCTTGTCTAGAATGACACTCAACACAGTAATGTTGATTGTCAATGAATTCAACTACAGCTCAATCTCTTCAACCACCAAAAGGACTTCCAGCGTGCTCATATTTTTTGTTTGATCATTATAAATCCAAAATTTTTGCAGTAGGCAAATTGGTCATATTTCTATTTCTTTTGATGGATTAGAGATCTTATTTCTATTAAGTATCCCTCCTCATTGATTATTAAGTTTCCAAAATGGATCTTTAAAAACACAATTTACTGTAAAAGCATGTCATCCTCACCAACCAAATTAGTTCATAGGTTTGATCCTCGTCCATAAACTTCAGGCCATGAAAAGTGGCACACTCTCCTTGAATCTCATTTCTTCTTTCCATTCTTGGGTATTATTTTGTAAGTATTCATCTTTATTACAACATTGAGACAGAAATGTAGGTGTCATTTCCGAATTAGAAATAAATTTGATGCTATTGCCCTGTTAATTACACTACTACCGTGGGGCTTTCCGACACCATTATCTTTTTCTTACATGGTTATGAAAAAAAATGAAATTTCAGGAAAAAACTAGCCTTTTTTGCTGGATCAGTAAACTCCCCAGTACGCCAAAGGCTTATTGAATCATGGGAAAATGACACTGACATCTCTGTGCACTCTGGTCGTCTCAAGACACCATACACTGATGAGCTTCTTGAAAGCAAATTCTGCCTCCATGTCAAGGGTTTTGAAGTGAACACTGCACGTATTGGGGATGCAATGTATTTTGGTTGTATTCCTGTTATCATAGCGAACTACTATGATCTACCTTTTGCAGACATACTGAATTGGAAACACTTCTCACTTACTGTTGCTACATTAGACATCCCATTGCTGAAGAAAATCCTACAGTCAGTAAGCTATGATCAGTACTCAACATTGCAGAGGAACTTGTTGAAGGTGCGTAAACATTTCAAGTGGCATCCTTTTCCAGTAGACTATGATGCTTTCTATATGGTCATGTACGAGCTTTGGCTTCGACGAAGTTCTGTTGTAGTTCCATTGAATGGATGGGTAGAGCTCTGATCAAGTTCTACCTGTATGTATGTACCACCACATTTTGATCCAATACGATTTTCTTGCGCCGTTCCTTTTGTTTGTTTCGATCTTTTAAGGAGAAAAGATTTTACAGCTTGGCAAGCAACTCATTGATCTGTTTTTTATAAAGAGGCCATTAACCAATGTTGATCCATATTTAATATAGATAAATATTTAAGGGGTAAAATGAGAATTTGCATAATTAGTTAATACCTTTTACCCAAGCAATTCAGCATCATATATGTTTACATACATGCATGCATGCATAAATATCAACAATTGTCAGACCGAGAACTGAACCCATTGTCAATTGGGATCACAATTTAAAACATCATTTTTGATAATATAACCTTAATAAAAATGACATTAGAATCATACTGTTTTTATGTTTATTAAACAAGTGTTTTTAACAAGGATCAAAAAATTGTTACGTATCAGCCGATATGTATCATATTGGGTCCTTTCCGATACACCCCTACAGGGGTTGTATCGGGTCAGGGCCTGGTTCAAAGGGTAGCTGGGACTTAAACCGGCCCCTCTATACTAAAATCGAAAAAAAAAATGGAAGTTAAAAAAAAAAGGGCCAATATTCGGCCAGTATCGATACTTTGAACCTTGATTTTTAATGAAAATTTTCCTATGGGCTGTTTATGAAATTTGTCCTAGACATGAAATATAACAACAATTACAATAAGACCAAGTGACCTCAATTTAATTACGTATTTCAGAACAATGAGAACCGGTCCTGATCCAATTATTATTAATCAAACATACAAACCATAAAACCATAACTGGCATAATTTGTTGGATCGGTTTGATTTTGTGGGATAAACTCAATCAATTGATAGACAGCTCTATGCAAAGGAGTAAAAGTCCCTTCCTTTACAATGAGGTCGGTCGACTTGTAGAAAAAGTTTTGATGGAATGGAGATCTCCAGCTGGGCAATGCAGGAAGAGCAGCATAGGGGACATATTCCGTGGGCAAACTTTGGCTGCTTACAGGCCTGTCGCCTATCAACATCCATATGACGTCCCGTAACGGGAGATAAAAATACTCCTGTAAGAAACGAAAAGGGTTGATTCTAATATTTAAAATGTCTAATTGAAATAGTCGTCACCTGACCTCATTGTAGCCATGAAAGAGATTGATGACCAGATCGGTGGTGTCGGAGTTGCAGACATTCTAGATTCCATATATAGTGGGATGTTAGTGGCTTGGTTGCTCTGTCTGGCCTGGAGGTATAAATCGTGTCATGTATTCTTTTGGCGGGTTGTGTTGTGTTAGCCTGCAGGCTGGGTTGGGCCGTGCTTGTTAAGTCAGGCCACGGATTAGGCCAAGCCATGAGAGGTATTTAAAAAAAAATGAAAAAATAATAAAAAATTTAAAATAAATTAAAAAATAGACAATTGAAAAAAAATCTTGAGATTTTATTTTATATGAATTTTGATGTATACAATTGTTTATATGTGTAATAATAAAATGAAATTAAAAAAATACAATATAATTGAAATAAAATAGTATAATAAAAATTCTTCATTACCATGTTCCCCCTAGTTTGGATGGAGGTGGGTGACTATTCTTTAACAGAACTTTAAGAAAGGTGAAAGGGTCTAAAGTGGCTTTCAAGGGATTAAAATGTGATAATGAGTCGCTCAAGGTATGTATTGGGCCAAAGATGCACTCCCCTTCTATAGGTTCCTTAGGGCTTTCATTACCCCTTGCCTAAGACATAGGTGGTTAACTCCAAAGAGACTGAGAATGTGAACTATTTACTTTGTGAAAAAGGGTTTTGGGGTCAAATTTCATGATTCATGGGGGAAAGGCTAAGGTCCACTCATTGGGTTACAAGTGGTGAATGTGTAAACATAGGTAACTTAGATGAGTTGGGAAGGGATGGAATGACACCTTCCATTTTTTGATGACACACTTGGCACTTGTTGCATGTGGCTCTGTTGAGATGTCATGTTGAGGAATTGCACTAAGAGTTCATAGGATGTCTACAATGTTGAGAATCTTGTGATGATGTGATTGGAATGATAATTTGTCATGTTGATCAGATGTCTTGTCATGATGCGGATTAAGGTGCCTTGTCATGGTTGTGACTTGCCATGATGTGGACTAGACTAATGGTTGATGACTTGTTGCACTGAGTGTTGACATGATGATGATTGGGCTGATGATAAATGGTTGTTCCATAACATTGATGAACTGTAGGCAAATGACAATGCACTTTTTTTTTCTTGTCATGATTCCAACACTTAAACCAACTTTCCATGGTAGAGAGCCTTAGACTTCAGAATTTCTAGGTTCCATTTGATCTTGGGTATATAGTTTAGCTTCATGTCAATAGGTTGAATCCTTTTTGATGTGCTTGAGTGCCATTGAAATCCCTCACTCGAACCTTGCTTCTAGAGACAATGAAAGCCCATTTTTTTTCAAAAAAAAAAAATGGATGCTTGAATGAAAACTTTTTTTTGTTTTTTAATATTTTCCCTTATTTGCTTTTGAAGTTTTTTCTTATTTTCTTATTTTTATTTTTGGATTTTTTTAGAAAATATTTGTTTTTTTTTGTATTATGATTTTTTTTTGGTTTTATAAAAAAATATTTGATTTTTCTTTTGTTTTTTTGGAAAACAAACTAATGCTAAGAAAAACAATTCCCTTTTGAAAAATGGTAACCGCCTAGATCAAACACTAGGATGAAGATTCCATTAGGGGATGCTTGAGGAAATTTAGGCACATTGAATCAAGAAATGAGTCTCTAGAATTGAAGATAACTATACTTGGAAGAATGATTGACTTATTACACCAAATGAGGGATCTGGATTGACTTATGTGCATAGGGGATAAAGAAAAGCAATGAAGAAATGCAAAAATAATATGAAAATGAAAGTTATTAACAAGACACACATAAGAGGATGAAAGTAAAGATAAGAAACAACCACAAAAAAAAAAGAGATCATGCATGACTTTGTATTTTGCTTAATTGAGAATGTTGAAAGGTTTGTATTGTGTGAAGTCAATTGGATTAAATCATGATTTTCTTTTTGGTTGAATGTGTCTTCATCCTATAAAAGTGTGAAAGCTCCAGATTTGGGCCTAAGTCAGTGATTGGTTCTTGCTTGGACAGCTTCACACTTAAACAAAGAGAATCTTGCTTGAAGTTTTAATGTACCTAAAAGCCATGTGACCTTTGATTTGGGCCTAAGTTAGAGATGGGTTAAAGATTACCCCAAGGTGGGCCAAGTAGTTGTGAAAGATTATGAAGCCTTATGATTGGGCCCAGGTCAAATGTGGGCTTTAGTCTAACCAATGGTGGATCCAGTGAATCAAGTAGTTGTGAAAAATTGTAAAGCCCTAGACTAGGTCAAAGTCAAATGTGGGCTCAAGACTAGCCCATGATGCATCAGTGTCCAGTGAACAATTACTTGAGGATGGGTCAAGAGACAAACAACCTTGCTTAGAAAATTGTAATAAGTTTTGAGGCCTCAAACTTGGTCCTTGATCAAGGATGGATTTAGGGGTCACCCATGGTGGATCAAGAGGATCAAGAGGCATACCTTGTTGGAGATCTAAGAGTTTTACCTTGATGCCTGAGTTAATGACAATATTTGAGGCAATCCATCCTAGGAGATGCTTGATTTGCTTAATTTCTTGTAGGAGATCAGGAGTCGTTTCTTCTCCATTTGAGTCATAGATGGGCTTGATATTGGTCCGATCCAAGTCTGCATCCTAATGGATTCCATGTTGCATCTCTAGACTCAAGCCGTTAGTTACCCCTCAAGTTGGGCTGATTAGGGTCATGTTCAACATGTTCTTAATGTTGCTTGCCTTCTAGTTCTTTGCCAATGATGAGGTCTTGGTCAACCTGGTTCTGGCCTCTCTTCCAGTCTTATGTCATGCTAGTCTTTTATTTCTGTAATGGAGTTGGGCTCCAGATTAGTTTGTTGAGGCTCTTGTTTTACTTGCACTATGCCATGCCAGTATTTTAATTTAATGATGGGGTCTTGGTTAACCTGGTTTGGATCTTGCTCCAGTTGCCTTGTACCATTCCAATCTTCTAAGTCAAATTCATAGGTGGGATTTGAATAATCTTGATGAGGCTCTATCCCTTGTCAATCTTTTGTGTTAAATTCAAAGGTGAGCTACTGAGGTTATGAGGTGGACTTTGCCCCTGGTCTAGACCTATACTAAGATTTTCTTGCCCTTGGTTTATAGGAATCACTTGACTTGAGACAATAGATCCTTGTTCTAAGTCTAGTTGGTTAATTTGCACATCATGCTCTTATTTTTGAACCACTTCGTTAATGTGTATATGCTTTATAGACTTGATGAATTGAGTTGGATCAAAGGGCTGATTTTCTTCAGTATTCTATTGCATTACAATGATAATGTACATTACCATTTTGGGGGTTCCTTTCCTGACCTCTAAATTGGCTTGATGAGTTGGGTTGGATCAAAAGACTTTTCTTCCATGGCTTCTAATACAACTTCCACCGATTGGATGGGTCTTGGGATCAAACAACTGGATCTTTTGCTGCATAGTGCTGACCTATTGACTTAGTAGGGCTTTTTGTTCTTTTATTGGGCCTTGAGGATCAATTGGATGTTGGTCTTCTAGAGCTTGGATCGGCTTATCTCACAAATTCCTTGTTGAGGTTATCACTATTTGATTTTGAAGCTCATTCCCTAGTTGGTCCACATTGATTTCTAATGACTCAACGCCTATGATGTACTCATTGTGAGATGAGATTTTAGTCACTGACAATACTTCAAGGGGAAATGTATGCCCGATTGCCAGAGAGTCTTCCACTTGGCAACCTACATAAGCTAGAGCTTGAAAAGTATGATGATAAGTTAGAGTCAACCTACAAGCATATTTTTTATTCAAGCTCTTGAAGATCATTGAAATTTGGTCCTCTTCAGTCAGCTACTTAAGGATTCTTCTGGTCTATAAATGATTCTTCTGGTCCTTGCTTGGCCAATTCTAGTTTTCACCTTGATAATAGGATGTTTGTGTTGTACGAATAGTGATTCATAAAGGTGTTAACTAGGCTTCGCCAAGTCTTCATTAAGCTAGGGTCGGTGTTCATTAACTAAGTCGTAGTAGGTCTAATTAGGCTCCTTAAGAAGGATTAGGCTA